CTTGGATATATTAAACATAATCTTGAAGCAAGTGCAGCTCTCTTCGATTATGTTACTCCTGGTAGTGGTCCAACAGATATTGAAGATTTAAAACCTGGAGAAGTCAGTTAAACAACAAAACATAAAGAAAATAATTAAAGTATTATTTGTTTTCTTTGTTTTTTTTAAGGGCTGCATTTTTCGTGAAGGTTTACATAAATTAGCTGTATATAGAGAAACCGATGGAACTATTTATAAATTTTCGGCAATATGTCCACATATGAAAGCCGTTGTTCGTTATAATCCATTAGAAAAAACATTTGATTGTCCATTTCATGGATCGCGTTTTGATAGATATGGCAAAGTAAAAAACAACAATGATTTTTATTTTCTTTGTGATTGATTGATAAATATTTCTTTCTGTTTTCTAGGCTATTAATGGACCTGCAAAACATAATTTAACTGATGGTCATTGTGAAATTATCTCACCAGCATCGTCAACGCCATTAAAATAAGACAATATGTAAAAAAAAAAATAATAAGAGAAATTATGTACTCTAGCATTTCGATATGATGTTTTTTTTATTTATTTTAATTATAAAAAATATAATCTTGCTACTATAATAGTAAAAATAAAAAACATATATTACGTTACTATATCAAGCATCAATCTTTTGTTTAATTTACTTTCCATCAGTCTTAGATTTAACGAAAAATCAGTTGTTCTGATAGGAATAATTCCTATGTTTAGAAAACTGTTGATCAATCGCAAATAATTCTATCAAATAACAATTGAATCAAGATAGCATAGTGTAAAAATGAGAAAATGCAATATTGCATAGAAATGAAATGTTCAGCAACTTCCGAGACTTAGTCTCACACTGTTCTTACGCTCTTCTACTGGCTGAGTTACTTTTAATATTTCTTTATTTCTCCAACACCCACAGTCTTTCTATGATCTTGTGCCACTACATAGTTGTTTTAGTTATTTACCTACTTGTTTTGAAACAGATGCACAAAACGAATGATGCAACAGATCTGCAGCAATTTTATTTTTAATGTAACCCTATGATCAAATGTCGTAGGAATTTTGTCGTTTTTTTATTAGAAGTAGCAAAGTGTCTCGTGAAAAAATTCAAGAAAGAATTAAATTGCATTTTTATTTTTACAAACCAGAAATATTTTAAGACAAAGCGATTGGAAGACTCTTCTGCAACTGCTTTGAATTTAGAAAAAGATTTTATCGAATCAAATCGATTAAGTATTTATTCGTTGAATGTGAGTTGTTCAAGTTGGGAATAGAGTTCACTTACTGTACCAGAAAAAAAACTATCTAGATGTTTTTTAAAGATCAACATAAACGCTTTTACGGTGTCCTCTAATATCAATGCTTTTCCTCTCTGCCCGTTAGAGTCAAGAAAATGAAGTCTATACTGAAAGAGAGGTTTCCAGAAGCTATAGATTTCCTATGAAAAAAAGCCTTTCGAGCCTTCTGCCAAACTGTATTATTTGAAACAGAATAGAGATTTTCTATGTGAGATATTTAGCAGAAGATTTTTGTTGCCGTTTTATAAATCCTGAATCAAGCAAAACATCTTTTTTGAATCGTATTGTCTGCTATCTATTCTCGTGTATACTAGACCAATTATTTTAATACTATATGAAAGCCTTTATTCTAGTGCACAACTGTACACATACGCTGTTGTAAAAGACTGACAATGAACGATAAAAAAGCTGAAAGAAATGTATTTTGATAAAATAATTATGACCGAAGTTGCAGAAGAATTTTCCAAAGTCTTTTATTTTAATATAATTCTGGTCTTTGGAAATAGACTCCAATCAAACTCTTCCATGACTTTTTGCACTAGATGCTTTGCTCTTTCTAATAAAAAAAATGAAATCTCTACGACATTCCACCACAGCGCTTCATCAAAAAGAAAATGAATACAGAACTTTTGCATCATCCGTTATTCAGGCGCTTTTCTTTTCTAGATGTAATTATAGGGCATAGACGAAAACAAGAGCCACACTCACAACACCATCAAGTTGGATCTGCTATCATAATATTTTATGCATGATTGTACACTGCAACTTTGACTTTACTATTTCTTGTCTAAAATTTTAATTGAAGTTTTTTAATATTAACGGATATGCTCAGAAATAAAAGATAATATTGTAATTAAAATAGCGAATGCGTCAGTAAAAAAGCTAACGAATTTGGAAGTACACATTATACTAATGTCCATTTCAGAGTTAAATGGACGTGACCATTTTTTGACTAACTTTTGATCGACTAAAGCTATCAAGCTCGAGGTTGCGTAGTTGAAAAGAGCCAACTCCAGTGTATCTTTCTGTGTAATTCATTTGAATCCATAGACACTTTTTTTACGCCTGTTTGTGCAACACTATGTTGTTTTTATGCTTCTTCCATAACTTTTTTGGCATTCGAATCCCTGTTATACCAAATTGTAGCCAGAATTCAGCTGCATATACGGTAAAATTACCATAGATGAAAGTGATCTTGTTGAAGACAAGAGATCAAACAGGCAATATGGGGAGGCCAAAAATTTACCATATATACAGCTGAATTCCGGCTACAATTTGCTATAATGGAAATTAGCATGTCAAAAAAGGTCGTGTAAAAAACATAAAAACAATATACTGATGCACAAACAGTCGTAAAAAATGGCCACGTCCATTTAACTCTGAAATGGACATTAGTAAAGTTTGTATTAACTCACTGGTTAGCCCGTAATGGATTCGCTGGTAGGGTCAAAAATATAAACGATCAACATCTCTGATTTAGACTTACGAAGTCATGAAGTCTGCCCATCATTAGAACATAACACATTTAAACTGTGTGCTAGAAGAGACCATGGTCTTAAATGCACAATCTTTATTTTGACCTTCGTCATCAACCGAGTGTACAAATTCACCTCATTCTTATTCGTTCTACCTGATGACAAATTAATATTCAAATGTATAGAAAATTTTCCAAAACGTTACTCTCAATGTTTTGTAATAAAAAAATGAACAATTTATCTTCATTGAGTTTTATTGTACAAAAAGAAAAATATAGATATAATGACTATTTCATTTGGATATCATCAAGTCATTTGATTTTGTATTGAAAAATACTAACAAGCCTTACTTGATCTTAGCCATGATTATCATTCTCATCACTTTCGTCCTATTATCGAACAAACAAAAATTTCATATTAAAAAATGAAAAAAAAACACTTTTTTATTTTAATTGCTATATGAATTTGAATAAAACATACTTAGAGATATTTATTAAATTCTGATCTATTCAGGTCGATCATTCCAGGCATCGGAAACAGCCTGAAACAGCGTATTACGATAGTAATTTGCATCGTATTTCGCCCTATTCCGTCAGCCCGTTTTACGAGCTTATGGAAAATAGTGCCGTTTTCTTGAACATGGATAACGTAAAACATAAAAATGCTGAATAATTGTTACAAGAGATGTTGCGATACTCTACTTGTTCTATATCATATCTTTGTTGTTGTTTACCAGATCCTTCTTTTCTAGTAAACTAATATTACGATTTAATAATTTCAATTAATCATGAAATGATGTAAATGATAATGCATTTGATTTGATCCAAATATCAGAACAAAACAGCTATTCAATGTATTTTTCAGACATAAACTTTTGATTTCTTATGCTATATTTTACAGAGTCTTTATATGCATTTCTGCTAATGTGAAAGTCAACAGTTTTATTCCACTATTGATATTTGCACCTTGACATACGAATCCAATAAAGTGAAGAAACACATATTGAGTATCAGCATTTCCACAGGATATTGTAATATATAGATGATCACCGACGGATAAAATCTAAGAAAGAAACAAAAAATTTCAAATTGGGTTTCACGTTTTTAATCTTTGACGAGTTGACTGATTGAAATCAATATTTTTAATAATTAAAACAATTAAAGATGATAAGATTTTATTATCAATTGTTCTTAAATGGCTAAGATCAATTAACGTATATAAAGAGTGATAGAAATCGGCTGTTTCACAATAAGTTTTCTGAGCATATGATTCATCAATAGTATAGTATAATGTGTTGTCAAATGACCAATCGCTCGTACTAATAAATCTGATGAAGCCATTCGTCAATCTCTTCAAGATATAAATATAAAAAGCTCCAAGTGGTTAAGATATGAACGGATGCATATGAAATCACCAATCGATTAAATCTACATCGCGATTTTAATATAGCAAAATGGTACGGATGTATGGATGTGGGCGTGGGTGCTGGTGTTGTCTTAACCCCCACTCATACACACACCCATCATCCACTGCAAAGCCACTTTCTCAGTCGTTATCTTTTGTTGTCGACAGAAAAGGTGGTCTTATCATCTTTCGTTAAGTCGATATTCTAGCTATATTCTTGAATGATATTTGATATTTTCGCTCACACCCAAACGCCTAGAGTAATAGTCACAGCGCTCAAGATATGAGTTCACAGCCGAACCAGGTGTAGCAGTGTAGGTAATTGATGAGAATATATTCATTAAGTCCATTGCCATGGAAGTCCAAAGCGTTGATGGCTTAGATGAAGAAAATACCCACACTCTTAGCAAGAGGGAGAAACTGTAAGACAATAGAGAAAATCATCATCAATGAAAGAAGCATAGCAATATGTTTTATTTTTCTCGACATCGATTTTGCTCTCTCCTTGTCACTCGTCAACTTGTATTGCTGTTTTGTACTACTGATTGCGTAAATATTGAAAGAAGGAAAGAAAGTGTGCGAGAAAAAAACCCAAAACACTCAAAACAACATCATACGTGCAACACATTATATACTTTACAATGAAGCATGCGAGTAGTCTTTAAAGAAAACAATTGCTCTCAATGTTGAAACTTTAGCTCAAACTTGTTATAGTCATTCGAAAATATCGAAAGATATGCTTTTCTTCACTATCACAATCATTGTTTCATTAAGTTTTCAATAAAGATGATTTTTGATTTTGTTATTTAGTGAAACATGCATCGAATTCAAGCCATTTGCTTGGGACACAAGGAAAAATTTATTGATAATTATCAATCAATTGAAAAATTAGAAGCACAAGTGTTGGAAAAGTATAGAAAATATCTGGTTCAAACAAATGTAAAAGATATATATGTTCCATTCATATTAGCATATAAAAGCGAAGCAACTGGTAAGGAAGAAGTACTAACAGACATAAATGTGATTCCCAAGAATAATGGACGTTGGTTTCGATTATTTGTTAAACGGGTATGTAAAACAATAAATCAAATTATTCTTTTTTATTCGGACACAGATTTATACGGTGATATATCATTAGATAGGAACGAACAAGATATTCATAAAGGTCTAGATTAAATGCTTTCAAGATCCTTTTCGAAATTCGGTCGCTTGAACTCATGCAGGATACAAAGAAGACGATGAGATTGAGTTTAATGTATTAGACTAACTTCCATGTGCACATAGGCCAATGGATAAAAGCCAACAAATACGTTGGATGATCAAATATAGACAATTACTGTGTTGACAATCTATATAGACTCAATAAAAAATTATTTGATTTGAAGATGGCCGATTCTCACATATATGTACTAACGAAAGAACTATCATAAATAACGCCCGACGTTTTAGGTTTTCTTAAGCTCAAAATTAGGTCTCAGTGAGACTAGCAAAAGCCTACGAGGGATTCTTCTTCATGGTTCTGCGAGACCAAGTTATAGTCATTTTCTTTGAATTTTCGATTGATCCTGAGATATTCACCAAAAATTCCAACAACGAAATTTCGACTTCAAATTTAGCCCATAGATAGATCTAAGGACCCTTAGAATATGTTGAAAGTTTCTCTTTCGACACGTTAATTTCCAAAAAAGATTGGCTTACTAGGAAAATCAAGTTCAAAATCAATTGAAAATTTGGCAAAATGATTATAACTCAGTCTCGCCGGACCATCGAGAAGAACCGGTTTAGACTTTTGCTAGTCTCAGCTAGACCTATTCATGCACTACACAAGAATTCAAACAGTAAATGTCAGTTGGAGTGATTCTTTCGTAAGTTTATATGATCTTTCTTGTGAACTGTGTTAACTTTCTAGTCTTTTAATATTATATTTCGAAAATATTTCTTTTGAATGCTCAAAAATCACATCGAAAGTGTTCTAAGTTTTTTCCTAACGGACGTACTTTTATCATGCAATTTTTGTGTTAATGTCTTCTATCTTCAAGATATGGGATACGTGTTGTGTATGCATCAGTCCATTTGGTATCACACCTGATCAATTACCGTGTGAATGTCCAATAGAAGATTGTGCTTACCAATATTGTAGTAAATGCGTACAATCAATAAAAACATGTAATAATACTAATAAGGCACAATTTTGCTGTTTATATTGTCAAAATTCATCCGTGAATGACGCTAAAGTGAATGCATTATTATTAAGTTTACTGTGGCAAAAATATTCTGTTAAATACGGTACCGATTTATTATCGGCAACAAATATTCTGCCCGGAGCGCTTTCAAACGACATATCTAGTCGTATAATACATGTTCAATCATTAATACAAACATTTAATGGAAAGATGAATAATGCTACTTCTATTTCTGAACCTGTTCAATTACTCATAGTACGTGCAAGTGTATTTATCAAAAATTTGAAAAGAATCAAACGTGACGTTGATAAATTGATTTCAACACACAATGATGATGAATTAAATCGTTGCTTTACGATCTATCTAAATGAATTAAATGGTAATCATGATAGAACTCAAAAATGTGAAAGTTTTGTTGAAATATGTGAATTATTGTTATATGAAATTCAACAATTGGAATTGAAAAAATCGTTTCCATCGCTAAATGAAAAAATGAATCAATGGGAAAATACACTGTTTACAAACGATCAATTTGAACCGAAAATTATTGATGTTTTTAGATCACTTGAAAATGATCTCGGTCGAAATATTATTCCAGGTGTTCCCTGTAGAATAGGATTGATTGGTGAAACAAGTGCAGGAAAGACTTCCTTATCAGTTGCATTAAGAAGAATTCAAGATGATTATACTACTAATTTTCAATCAAAAGAGCTTCCAAACATAATACTCTCTTCACCCATCGGTGTTTATAAAACTACGTATTGTCAATTGGAATTTGAACATGAATATGATAATGATAAAAAAGTAATATTTGTTGATATTGAAGGATCCACTGATACTGATTTATATGTAAAATCAGGAAATTATTTTGATCAAATAAAAAAAGCAGATTGTGATTTGTATATTATTGTTTTTGATCACAGTTTTACAGATGTCCATCGTCAGTGGCAACAATATATTGTAAACAATTTGAATCGTACATGTTGGATTGTACGGAGTAAAGTAGACGAACTATTTATCAGAACATTTAAACAAGATGTTGGTCAAGATTTTTATTTATGTGATGAAATGACAAGAAAGAAATATGCAGAAAAAGTAACGCAACGAGTTCGAGAACTTAGCATCTCAGACAACAAAGGAAAAGAATTATCTGATGTATATCTTACTTTTGTTTCAAATGAAAATAATACTCGTAATCAAAACCCATCTATACTAACATATGCACAATTTGATCTTGAAAAATTAATTAATGATATTATTAATTTACCACTAAGTTTTCATGAAAATCGTCTACAACAAATAGCTATGTATGCAACAGCTCGAGTTATTAATATTTGTTTTCGTCGTGGTTACGCTTTAAATGTAATGAAATATAAAATTTTGGCAGGTTTTGCTGCTGTTGTACCATTTTTGGATTTAGCTCCAAGATATTTTGCACGCGAACAAATTCGCCAAAAATTTGGTGTTAATAATAGTTCATACTTTATAAAATGGTGGACCGGTGAAACAGATGAATTTCAAGTTTATTTAAAAGAATTCAAGATTGAAATCGATGAATCTGGATTGAAGACATCATCTTTAAAAAACACTTTTAAACTTAGTGGTGTTTCAAGTCAAGGTAAAGTAACAAACGCATCTTCAGTTGCTGTTAAGACTGCGACAGGTATTGCTACTGTTGGTGTTTCAATGTCGAATGCTGGTCTTAGAACTGCTGGAGTTGGTGCAACAAGCACTGTTCGTGTTTTGTCTGTTGGTTTAATTGTTGTTGGTGCAGTATTAACAGCAGGAATGTGTGCCTGGTCAGCAGTGTCCAATGGTAAACAAATGTACGATTATTTAAATCGATTATGTGATGATCTTATATTTATTAGTGGACATATGGCCACAAAAATTATTAAAGACAATCATGAAATACGAGAAGAATTTTTGAATTAAACAAATAAAAAATATTTTGCATTAATATGTGTTCGACAAGTTTATCTTATTCATTGAATAGGATCAGGCTGGTTACTTTTTAGTGAGCGTTACATGTACTAACATACCTTCAGTTTTGAAAATTTTGTGCTAAAGCGTTGAATAGTCTTCAAATTTTACTTTAGAACAATTGTTTGAGAAAGAGAACATAGATGAAGCTGTTAACAAAAGCTGTGGAAATTCCGTTTGATTTCATTGATACAGTGGTAGGAACGTAGAAAAAGGATCAGGAGATTTTAAAGACTCTTATCTCAAGATAAAATTTCTCTAGACGAGGGTACGGGCATGTTGCTATCGACTAGCGGAAACTTCTTTTTTTGATATGCTTAGAGCGCCTGAGAAAATACCTAGTTACGTACCTGTAGTGCGGATGTGGATATAAGTGTTAGTGGATGCCTGTAGGTGTAGGTGAGAGTATCGGAATACTTCTCATTCGTATGTAAATTCACATCTTCACGTATACCCACACAAGTACACCTGTATCTCATCATTTCTAGTATTGAGATGTTAATTTATTTTTAGAAAATAATTCAAAATGATGTACTTATATTTACAAGTAAAGGTAAACAAATCATTCATTCTAGAAATGCAATAGGAAAAAAAATTTTCTTTAATATTCGAAGCGACTATTTATATGCATTTACTTTGATTTCCTTAAATATATCTTATCAACAAGGTTAGCTTTGAAGAATAAGAAAACACCACCTGTCAATATTCAACAATAGGTACAACTAATTTACATGATACAAGTAAATTACCTTAAAAAAGCCTATTGAACATGCAGGTTGATGTGAATATTGAAAAGAAGTATTTGAATGAAACATATATTTTAGAAAATATAAGCTATTAATAAAACGAAAAAAATGGATAGAATTTGATTTAATTTTTGATTAATATTGATTTTTTTCCTTTTCAGTATTCAAGGTTTTAAAGAAAATATTATTTGTAAGTATTATCAGCAGTGCATGTGCTACCTTTTCTCATCTTCATTTTTTTGGTGCACGATGATATTCAGTGATGGTTCAATGACATTGTCAACAACGATCCGATTATCCTAATTATCCATCATCTAATGATAGTGTTCAAATTTTATATGAGTCAAAAATATATATTCTTGTTAATAGAGATAATTATGCTCTACTTGATGGTTAGGGCACTACAGCACAAGTAAATGTCAAAGAGTAAGTCAATAAATGTTTTGACAAACGTGAAATGTAAATTTTTTAAATAAGAATCACTTCCGACTGAAGAATGAACAGAACAATTGAGTCAAATTTTAGCACAAGGAATTGAAAATACTCAATATTGTCATCAACTTGAATTATTTAAATTTAATTTATTTATTTAAATAAGTATACTTTCGTATTAAAAAAGGAATCAGTTTTTAAGGTATAAATGGTTGTATGTGTTTTACTCGTTCAATATGCAAACAGTTGTCTTGTTTAAAAAACATTTATTGACAAATATGTTCTAAAATATTATTGAGCCCATGTCCATAAGTATTTACATACAACGTAAGTACAAACATAGTAATCAACTTATGTTCAGCTAATGATAAAATAGATGTTTAATTTTTAAGGAAAAGAACATCGCAAGATTTTTCAATTCTATTCTATGATAAAAGATAATCTTTTTTTAATCATGTTCCGATTTATTTGTACATAAAACAACAATAACAACAACATTTAGAAAATCCCATTCGAATGAATATGTATATACATACAAATATAATAATAATCTAATCTATTTTACATCAAAAAAAAAAACAAGATCATATCTGCATGTTTGAATTCCCAACCAATGAATGTATACATTATGAAAAACGAAACAAAAAAGAAAAAGAAAAATAAACAAACAAAAAGTAAACAAATGAATTACGACGAAAATGTTCTTGCACGTTCGCGTAATTTTGCTATTTCACTTGATATTATTAATGAAGGGCCTAATTTTATTTTCATTGTATCTCGTAAATGCTCTTGTGTCATTAATAATAATGCTTGACCGTCCATTTCACTTTCATAAAAAGCTTCACGTATAGTATTATTTGTTAAACGTGCAATAAATTCACCCACTTGCAACACAGTCCATTTACTTGGATCAGCTGGTAAGCCATGATCAGGTGGTAATGATATTTGTTCATCAATATTTGTTTCAATTGATGGTTGTGGAATTGAATTTTCAATAATTCTTATTGGTTCATTAATTGGTGGAGTTTTTATATGATCAAGATTTTTTCCATTTGATGTTTTCATTATTTTCGATGATTTTGCTGAACATGATTTAGAACAAAATTTTTTTTCTTGACTATAAAATCGTTCTGAAAAATCAACTTTTTTACATAGAATACATCGAAGTTGATCAGAACCAAGATCACTATTACTATCATTAAAACTATGATTTTCTTTTTCTTTTCCATGTGAATTATTTAATTCTTTTGAATCATCATTATTATCATCGATTGGAAATGGATGACTACTTTCACGAATAACAAAACCACCAATATAATGAACAACAATATCATTGTTTTGTGAATGATTAAGAGATTTTATGGGTGAAGGATTCAATTGGACAACATTAGGTACTGTAGTTGTTGATGATGAAGCAACAGTTGATGAACGAGGAGAACTTGTCGTTGGCGATGATGTTGATGAAATTTGTAAATTTTTCAATGGAATTGTTGCTTGATTTTCAATAGTTTGAGTCATTGGTGGAATAAATGAACGAGAAATAGTATTGGTCGATGATGGTACTGGTGGTGGTGGTGGAGGAAGAATTGTTGTTGGTTGAGATGTATAAGAATATGATGATGTTGTACATGAACTAGTATTATTATTGTTATTATTATTAACGGAGAAAATATTTAAAGTTGGTGCAGCAAGCATGTTTGTCGACGATGCATTGCCATTGAGCAAAGATGGATAAGAATATTGTTGTTGCTGTTGTTGTTGTTGTTGTAACAATGATGGATTATTTACAGGAATTGTAGTCTAGAAGTTTTAGAGAAAAAAATTCAATCGTAATAGTCAATATAATAGATGGAAATAAGGCACAAAAATAGAGAAGACAAACTTTGAATCCAGAAACCAATGACAAAATAGAATCGCGAAATGAATGTTATTCTATTGAGCTGTAGCTATTAGAATGTTGAATATGCATGTTGTTTAGATATCTGAAATCGACTCGTTCTAGTTCGGAAGAGATTACAACTCTCTGATAGGTACTGTCAACAATCAAGATATGCAAATTGAGACCATGAGAAAAAAAAACTGTTTCAACTGGAGCTAAAGATTATAGTTCACTATTTCATTTATATAGACGAATTATCTTATAAAACACATTACTCATAACATAAATCAACAGAGATTACTCAAAAAAAGTGCTAGTCATCGACTAAAAAAAAATCAAAACAAGAGAATTGGAGAATATTTTAGATGTAATACAAATAAGTTCTGAAATAGTTTTTCCTAGATTGGAAGTGAGACTAAAAAACTTGTCCTCGTAAATCTCTAGTTCTGTTAAAGATTGAAATATATGATAAGATTAACTTTAAGGTTCTCATCGAAGTTTATTCTTTCTCCAAATATTGACCATTGCCAATTTTTTTAGTTTTCTGGTAACTTTGAACAGAAGCAAACTTTTGAAACACTATTTCCTTCTTTCTGGTAGAAAAGAAAATTAAACTTAAAAAATCTCGTTGCGAGATGAATATGGATAATCTGATGGCAAGTCGTCTATCACAAAAGAGATCAGATCATGGTGGATTTCTTCTACTCCACTCCAGTCAACACTTCTAGTACTTTGAATCTTCGAGTAGCATTCACTAATTCTTATTGACGCCTGTATAACTCAAAACGAATCTCTTGTGAAGAAATCAAAATATGTGAATAGATATTTAATTTCAACCTTATTCCATAATAAGATATAAGCATATTGGAATAGAATTTTCAAAATAAAACTTACTGTATGACTAATTGGTTGACTTGGAAAAATTAATGATGTACCACCATTTGTATGTGGATGTATATTATTAAATGTTGTTGTTGCTGTTGTTTGTCCAGGTATTAGTAATGTTGTTGTAGTTGCTGTTACATTTGGTATAGTTAATTCTGTACCTTCGGGCATTGGACGACTTTTTATTGGTTTGTTAGTAAACGGATCACGTTCATATAATCTAAAAAAAAATCCAGATAAAAAAAAAAATATTAATTTCAAAAAAACAATATTGAAGTTTTACCGTGGTCGTCCACGTTTCTTCTTAGATAAACTTGAGCTAATATAATTCAATATAATAAAAACCAAAATAGATAGATTAAATTTTAATTTACCTGCTTGAACGTCTATGACGATGATTAGCCTTACGTGCTATTTGTGAAAGTGAAAGCGAAAGACCCGGATCTGGTGTTGTTGAACCATCAAAAGCTATTCATAGAAATAAATTTCGATGTTTTGATTTTATTTTCACAACTCTTTTTTTTTCTACTAACCAGATGTGTCATCTAATGATGAATCATTTTCATTATGTACTGGTGATAAATCTCTTCCGTGTGATTGTATAGTATTTCCATTTAATATCGATGTTGGAAGTATTGAATTTGGTTGTAGAAGTGATGGTTGATGTGTTACAATGTTACAACCTATATTTAAAATATAATTAATAGAAGTAACTCTTTTTTATCATTTATTTACCATTAATTAAAGATGTTGTTGCAGGTAATTGTGTAATACCTGTTAATTGTTGTGTTGTCATTGTTGTTGTATCACTTGTTAAAGTCGCTATGCGAAAAAAAAACGAAAACGTTGATTTTTTTTCCACAATAATTAAAATGTATTACTTCGTTGCATATCAATTGTTGAACTTGTACGAACAGTAGTTACTGTTTGTGAAGAATTTTGATGTGACTATTAAAATAATCATGTCATCATATTACATAGAGAAAATTTCATTTTTACCTGTTGTGTTGCAAGAGGAGTAACAGCAGGTTGTTGTTGAAAAGTGTTTATTTGTGGAGCATTGGACACTAAACAGAAAAAAATTAGACAAATGATATTATTTTCGTTTGTTTTTTAAAGGAAGGAAGTAGAAATTTGCTGAAAGAAAAAAAAGAATTTACATATAGAAGAATCTCCATTCGTATGAAATGTTGGTATAACAGGTTGATTAGCTGCTGAAACAACAGTGATAGGTGTTGCTTGCAGAATTTGACCAGATTGATTACGAAATGTAATAGGTTTTTGACCATCATTAGCAACTTGTACAAGCTGAAAAACAATTTTATTTTTCTTTTATTGAATAAATGCAATAAAAGTTTTGACTTACTTGACCTTGATTTCCATCAACAACTAAATAAGTAGTAAAACCCTGAGATTGATTAGTTGTAGATGGTTTAACAACTGGAACATCTGCATAAAGAAAACGAAAAAAAAAAAAAAATTTTGTTATTTCTTTACTGGTTACATATATATATATTACTTGTTGCTGGTACAGGTTTTGGAATAAGTGGTGCTAAATCAAAGAACAAATAATATATATAAATATATCTATTCAAATGACTTACCCATTGGATTACCAAGTAAAACAGTTTTTTGTGGTTGAGGTAAAATCGTTGATGTTTTTCCAGTACTTGGTCGTGCAAGTAATGTTGCTGGTTTTGCTGGTGATCGACTTATTTGTTTATTGTTATGAGAAGATCGAGAACCCTAAAAGAAAAAAAAGTATTATAAAAAAAATTTATAGAAAGAAAAATGATACAAACTCGTTTTGTTTGTTTTATTGTTGTTCTTGTTGGAGTCGTAGGAGTTATCGTTTGATCTGAAGCTATTGGTACGGCTATTAATTGAGTATAGGTTGGTGGTGCAGGTGCAATTGCTACTTCATTTGATGCAACAATTGCAGGTGGTGGAGGTTGCATTATATGAAATGTTGGTTGCTCAGCATCATCAGATGCTGGAGGTAGTGGTACATTAGTAATTTCTGATGGTTCTGCAGAAGGCGCTACTGGTTGTGGTAACGGTGCTTCAGGTAATGGAGTTGATGCAGGTATGGATTCCACCTGCATCTTATTTCAGTAATATTAATATCTGAAATTGAAAATAACTGTTCTAATTGGTCATCTTATAATTAAGTTTGTATTTTGTTTATTTTAGTTCGTCACTATGCAATCTGCTTGTTTTTTTTTACGTCATTTTGTTTATTAGAAAGTAAACAGGTAAAAATCAAGAAAAAATAGAAAGATATTTCTTTAAAAACGACGTCACATGTTGAACAGACGAAATGATGAAAAAAAAGACATGAACGAAAGTTTTTTATTGGTTGTTATAATGTGTTTTATTTCAGATAACCAATGAAAAAAAAAGAAATTAATAACCAATCATACTGTTCATTTAAAACTGGTTTCTTACGACCTCTATAAAATAAAATTCTCTCATTTTTTTAGAAAAGAAATATAATTTTGAATATTGACTATTGAAATAATCATCTTTATTTCGTTTACGGTTGGATTACAATTTATAATAGATGAAGAAATTTAAATTATTGCTTCTATTTCTACATATAATATCAGCTCTCTATTTGTAGTGTTCAATTTTCGAGTGACTTCATTCGATAGGAGTGTGCCGAGCAAGGAAATCTAGTAAATGGCTAGTGGCAGAGGAAGAAGCGATTAAGTCTTCCATAAACCTTTTGAACTACGTCTAGAAATGAGACGATCCTATATTAAAGGTGAAGAAAATACTTGCTTTTCAGCTTCAAATATGGATTGAGCACTCTACAGACTTCTTCGGACATCGTCCTAGCAGTGAGCCTCCCTTGTATTTGATGAAATATAATCAACATGAATTAGTAAGACGTCCAATAATTTGTTTTACAAATAAGTTATTGAACGATCAACTGCTTAACATCACCAAAGAAATGTAAAACATTCTTTAGTTCACTGATACAAATACAATAATTAATATATTTCTTTCAAGAAATCTTTGAAATCTAAACTAAATATATTTAACAACTGAAACCTGATTTTATTGTGAAATATCAAATAGAAAAAGAAAAGACATCACAGGTTTATTGCGAAAATTTTTTTCACATATTGCTATCATTTTTATCCAGCAATTTCAAGACTGCACCGACTAAATACAGACTACCGGTAACTAAAACAGATGGTTTTGATGATTTACTATCATCAATCCATGCTATTGCTTGTGATACGGTATGAAAACAATGTATCGATGGTATTGTTGTTTGATTTTCAATTGTTGATAACCAAAGTTTTTCAAATGCAGCTACATGTAATGAAAGACGACCTATTTCACTAACAATATTTGCTGTTGCTCGCCATTGATCTATAATAAGAAATAAAATATCAAATAAAAAACTACATTTCATTACCATTGCCAGGTTTTGTATCTGTTTGAGAATTTTTATCATTGATAGTTGGTAGTGAAGTAATCGGTGAACAAAAGGCAACAGAATCAAATTTGCATTTCTATGTATATATATATATATTCAATAAAATAATTAAAAGAACAGGAAAAATTTAGAATCTTACCATTAAAGGTTGAAGTAATACATCTGGTTGTCGATCATTTGAACAATAAAATAACAGAATAAGTCTCTCTGATTTATTTTGTTTTGATAATGAATTAGTGAACCAATTTTTACATTGTTCTATTGATTCAATAGTACTAATCAATAAAATACGCAAAAAAAAAACAAAGTTTACACACAACAAATATAAATCTAACTTACTGTGCACCGTCAACATAATATGTTGCACTCGGTGTATCAACTATTTCATTACGACCTGACCAACGACATGATGCTAAACCTTGAAGAATTTTTTCATTTAATGGTGCAGCTCTAAGTTTATCATACGATTGTCCTAAGTAATATGATAGTACTACGTTTTAAAGAATAACAATATTGGTTATGCATACAACCTTCTCGAGCATGTAGCCAATGAAAAACTAATTCTATTGCTAACGAAGCATTGATTTCTTGTACATCTCCAGCAAGTGAAAGTTGAAATGGATAATTTGGATAATGATTTAATGGAGGTGCGATTTCTAATGAACACTAAAGAAAAACAAATATAATTTATATCATAATATTTTTCTCATTTACTTTCTTACATGTCTTTCTTCAGCTCTTTCATTTAAAACACGCATAGCCTCAGATACTTGTGGTACAGTAACAGCTGGAACATCTGGCTTAAATATTCCAGCTTTTTGCCATGCAATTTGTTCAATGGTATTACCCAATAGTTTAACATGATCTAAGCCTAATGATGTTATGCCACATACAATTGGAGTTCTATATGTATAAATCAAACTATAGAAAATGAAAATAAAATATGGAATAACAAACTTGATAACATTTGTACAATCATGTTCTCCCCCAATGCCTACTTCGACAATAGCAACATCGATCTTTTAAAATGATTCAAGTTTATTTAAAGAAAGTTCTATTCTTTCAAACCTGTTCATGAACAAAAACGTAAAACATCATTGTCGTTAGAAAAGAAAAATAATAGGGCATTGAAATCGGGTCCTAAAACAGGAAAAAAATCCCATGATAGAAAGTCACCTATCTTTATTGTTTCAAAGTAATGGAAGAATTAAACTTGTATGAAAAACGCGCGACATTTTATCACTCGTCGCTACACATTATTGAGATTCAAACAAAATGACTAGATGTATAAATCGGCATTTAAAAATGGCTTTCCTTTTGCTCAGAAGTGACTTTGAACCATAAAAAAAAGTCACTTTTAAGAAATGAAGCATTTTCGAAAAGAAAAATTTTCAGTGGAAAAAAAACACCTAAGAGAATCTTTCCTCACATTGTTTTGAGAAAACGTTCTGATTAGAAAATTAATTATGTCATAGATTATCCGATTTAGTTTCGCGTGCTGATTCCGAATAACTCATATCTAAGTCCAAGAAGTTTGTGTTAACTGTATTGATAGAACATAGTTAGAAGAATACTTTGACAACATGGGAGCGAATCAAGATCATGGCTAAGGATGATGTACTTATCTTGCTAATCAAGGAAAGTTTCTTAGTATCAAATGACTTTTGAGTCGGATGCAGTTAGTAACTTATTGGTAGCATGATACTGTATTTCTATTAGAATGCTTTGATTCTGCTCAAAAACATCAGGAAAATTGAGTCTCGATATTCCACTTGAAACTTTGCGTAGACATAAACCGGAACGAGAATAACTTGTTATAAAAATTTCAGATTTTTCTATTGTAAGCCATTCCATATGAGCAACACGAAAAACATGCTTTTACTGTAGTCGTATCTTAAGATAGAAGCAATTAGAATATCTGGAGCTCTCACAATAAATGATTCTCATCCAAACCTGTTTCTGTGGAAAATTTCAAGATGGAATTCGAAATTCAGTTGTCCTAATGTTTCTAAGAGGATCCACAGCATTCTGCTAACAATCCAGTATCTGGGCAGTAATAAGCTATTAATTTGAACTCTTTTTATGGTATCTACAGCTCATTAGAATCTATGTGGTTACAAAAACATCTTCACTTTGACTTGAACATTTATTAGTTCGAACTAAAATTTTATTTTTACGAGTTGATTGATTCTCACAGAGAAATTTACTTTTTTTTTTAACGACAAGCACATTTTTAAGCTGAATTTACATTGACCGACTTTCCACTTTACTTAGCACTCGCAAGAAAAACTTACATATCAGCAGATAGCACATACCTTGAAGTGTGTTTACTATCCTTTGAATTGTTGTAAAGTTTATACTTGTTTTTTTCATGTAATGTTCACCTGGGTGTGAACTATGAGGATGCAGAGTGGTTAAGTCCTAGGAAAAGGGGAGATATGTGGACGAATTTCAAAAATAGAAGGCATGACATTTCTCAAAAATAGTAAAAACTTCTTGTCGAAGAAATCATCATTAGTTTCTCTAGTTGATGCATTTGTTTTTTTTTTCTTCATTTTTTTTGAAAAATAACTCAATAATAGTCTGGCAACTTTCGTTGTATTGATCAAACATTTGAAGCTAAATCAATATCTAAAATGTATCATAATCAACTTACTTCATCAGTTGAGTTTTGAACGCCATCATGAATAACATTATAACATTGCCAAAAATAATCAACAAATTTTTCTTTTGATAATAATTCCCCATTAATTCGAATACGTTCACGTGCTTCAATTAAATGTGGCGAACTAAAATTTTATTTATTGCAAAAAAAAAACAAAATTAAAATATTATAATTTGAAACTATTTTATACCTAAAAAATCCAGTTTTATAACCATATTGTCGTAAAATTGATTCTGCAAATGCACATGTTGATCCTTTTCCTTTTGTACCTGCTACATGGATTATGTTAAGTTTATCGATTTGATCCAACTATAATTTAAAAATTTAAATATAATAATTAATAAAATATTTCAATGAAGAAAAAATCGTTCAACTAATTCGAGGCATACAGAGTGTCATGCATACGAACAATATTAGATTTGTTCACACTTACAACGCTGTTGCCTCAGTTTTTATCGTTCGGTCACCTGAACGTTCAGAAATGACAAATAACGTAGAATATTGTGTATTGATTTTCCACGTTGATCAGTTGATCTTAATGATGATTGGTTTGTTTGTAAGGCATTTAACGTTGAAATCGCTTCCTAAAATATAAACAAAAAAGAAAACCAGTGCAAAAAGAAAATTTTCATTTTCCAACTTCATAACGGCTTGATATTGTTTTAGTAACAGACGCCACTTTTCGAATTTGAGAACCTATTGATAAACGATATGAGACAGAACGAAATGGATAATATAAAAAAAATTCATATAAAAGAAAAACTAAATGTCAACGTATTTTCTTGAGTTAATTGTTTTCTCTATTAAGCTACTAGATTAATAAACTATATGAAAATAGAAACAGGAATTTGAATGTTTCTAATGAAACCTTATCGGTTATTATTGATAGACAAATAAGCATAATTTATGATTATAAAAGAATTCAAAAGAAAACTTTTTTTAAATATTAATAGTATATTAAATTGTATCTCATTAATAATTAACAGTAGATTTTAATTTTTCTTCATACTATTTTGATGATATTGATATAAAAACCAAAACAAAATTAAGAAATTCACAAAGTTTGTATAGAATAGCAACTGACTAAGTATGATGATATTTGTAATAATTTTGATTAACTCATTCTTAATAATATATAGAACAAAATAATGATGTCAAAAATAGGTGACGGAGAAGTTGTCCTTGAAAATTAATACTGTTTTTTTTTAGAAAAATACTCAATATTGATAATAGAGAAGCGTCAAGAAAGATAGATATAAGCAGTTGAAATAACCCAGTCGTGTTATAGTTTTTGAAAAAAGAAAGACAATGAGAAGCTGTATTTTCTTATTTGGATACTTACTCCATGTAGAGACGATGGAAAAAATAAAGTGTCTATAATAGAATAACCAGCAAGAAATATGAATTTTCAATCATTGCGTTACAAAGCTTCTTTGTAGAACTACACTAATAGATTCAGAAAATCAATTATAGGACGAAAATTTTATTTCTTTATACGCTCCATTTAAAACATTATCAGCTCAATTTTTGTTAATTGTTGTGTCAGTGATAATTGAAACAATTTTCAACTGGAAGAAGCTGTTGAATTCTGTTAATTTTCGTAACAAGTGAAATCGTCGAATGCTGTAGCAGAAACTTTCGGCATATTTCTTTGTCGGATAAATTAAAAAGAAATTAACAGTGGTAATCGAATTCAGTATTATTTATTTTGAGAAAAAACTCTCTTGTTGTATCAATTGATCAATGTTAAAGAGTATATCTACTGAATTATTTCATTTCTTGTCTTAGAATAATTAATAATGATAATGCAGTTTAATATAGTTATACAATTAATCTGGAATGTTCGATCTTCTTACTAAGTACGGTGCTCATCAGTAGTGCTAATGATGACCAAATTTACGAAAAAAAGCTTCTAAGTATCAAATTACTTTTGAAAAAGAACTTTGTGCATCATGTAGGTTCTAATAAGCTATGAATACTCTGAAAAGAGTTTGATATAATAGCGTATAACTGCTGAGTTACTGAATTTTTACCGTATTTTTTAGCAGAATACCGTGATCACTCTTATGAACATCAGGAAAATTGAGTTTCGAATCTCGAGTTGAAACTTTGTATAGAGATAAGCGTTAATGAGAATATTTTATTGTAAAAGTTTCAAATTTTTCGATTACTTTTATTCTGAAATACGAATATTGGCATTAGCCGTTGCATCTGAGAAGCCTGAAAAACATGCTTTTGCCACATCCGTATCTTATGATAGAAGTAATTACAAGATCTGAAACTTTTACAAGAAACTATTCTTATTAAGGCCTATCTATATAATTTACTGGAGTTCTTAAAAGGGACCATGACATTCTGCTAAGAATACAGTAGTTTAACAGTGATAAACTATTAGAATAAAATCTTTTCAGGGCACTCATAGCTTATCAGAACCTACATGATGCACACACTTCTGGATCAAAATCATTTTAATATTAAGAAATAATCTCTTGTTAATAAAAACAAAAAAAAGATGACACCAAAATTCCAGATTGATTGTAAAAATATAGTAAACTGTATTGTTCATATCAATGATTATCATAATGATTACTTATCATCATTTTTAGCAAATATGTGCCTAGTTTTAATACTATTTATAGTTTCGTTTCCGATGTCCGGAAATATCGAAATTAATGTAAAATCGGAAACTATGGTATTTATATAATTAGATATATTGAAATATTATGTTCAATAATAATGTTTAGTTTTGTCTATCAAGATATATATATTGACAAAAAAATTTTACAAATTATTTCAATAATTCAGATTATTTAGAAAAAGACAGTTAGTAATTTGATCGTTCGATCATGTAAAAGTGATTTATTTTATACAAATAATTTAAACAACCTTAAAATATTTCTTCAGAAATATCTACTTAATTCAATAGCGTATCCCTATAAATTATCATTTTTCTATTAGAATTCGTCCTTCACACGTATTTTTTATCAGTTTCCCAGGCTAATTTACAAGTGTTTTATTTACATATGGTAATCAACGTCATAAAAGCATGACCTATAAAATCTACGTTTTTTTTTGCTCATATCAAACAACAACATACAAATATTTCTTATCGAATGATTACTTAATCAAATTCTAGGCCATATCATCTTTCGTAATACTGTTATAGATAAGAGAATAAAAAATTCTTTCTCACACGGTCATCATAGTCACTCTATATTTCTTTTGTCAATAATGATATCAATTAGAGAACCAAAGAACAAAAAACCAAAAAATGAGAAGCTCAAGATATTTCTAGAGCAAAAAATAATCATAGAATATGTTTTAATGAAAAGAGTTTCAGGTATCTGATATACATAAATATACATAAGCATAATTTACAAGAGAAGTAATCGTAATGAGAAAAGAAAACTTGAGACAACAAATTATATACAATAAAAGAAGTTATGAATATTAATTAATAAAAATAAACAAAAAAAACATGGCACAATTCATTGTTAATTGAAGAAAGTAGTTTTACCCTTTTGTTTTTTTTTCTACTTGTCAATCATAATAATACTAATATAAAGAAAACAAACCATCGATAGCTAGATTATGGAAATATGACTAGACAAATAGGAACAGAAGACGAAAAGACGTACAGAAGCATTGATTTTTTTTGAAATAACAAATTGAATTTTCGTTTAAACAGAAAAGAAGCAAAAGAAAAAAAAAACAAAACAAAACCTGTTAACATCACTGTTTTTGCACGCGGGTCAATAGATTAATGAGTTCTTTTTTTATTTTTATTTTCTTATATATTCTGAATGATCAACATTATCATCATCCCATCCATTATCTTTAATCATATGTACAAGTTCAATTATATATTTGCCTTCTTTATATTTTTGACTGGATTCAAATGCATGTTCCTATATTTAAACAAAAAAGGAAAGAAACAATTTTTTTCTTCATTTGCAAATATGAAAATTTATATATTTACATATTTCCAACCAAGTAATGTTTTACAACATTCACAATAAATATCAGCTACTTCATGCAAACCAGTCAGTAGAACTCGTTCTTCAGCAGCACTTGTATTTACATTAACACTAATATAAAGAAAAAAAACAAGAGAACTAATCAAAATATTCAATGAATAAATGCAGATAACATACACAGAATTGAATAGATATGCACGACCTTGACTACCTTGAAATGACTAAAATAAGAAAACATTTTGATGTAATTTGTTTTTTTTTTGAGCATCATTTCTTTTTTTTTGTTTTTTTGTTTAATTACTTTAGAAATTAATTCATCATGATTAGCCAATTGAGCTCGACAATGAAGGCAAGAATAAGTCCGATGCGTTTTAGCTGGTAAATAAAGTTGAAATAATTTGCCAAGCGTTTTTGAACCGCCATGATGACTATTCTTAACCATCTTTTGACGGACCTACATCAAAGAAAAGGAAATAATTAAAGTTAAAATAAGAAATTCATTATTCAATCTATTGACTGACATAGACAGTAACAAAAAACAAGAGAACTGACCACATCAACTTATAAACTTCATCAAAGAAACATAAGTGACACGCGTCACGTGTGTTGTTCTATTATTGATTTATTCCTTCGGTTGCATATTTCTTGTCTCAACTCTCATTTTTTTTATCAGGCTATTGTAAGTCTTGATGAGAAAAACAAACAAAGAATTCTCAACAGAGTACGAGTTGACGGAAATTAAATGCATTGATGAAAAATGGATCGATCTAAGGTCAAACGACTTTTTCACTTTTGATGACAAGTCTTTTCTAAGTCTCGTCATAATGTATATAAAAATAATAACCATGTACATTCTTGTATGTACTTATCTGAGGTAACATGAAAAGTTGAAGACGAGACATAAGCACTTATCTTTTTGTCTACTATATTCGTCGTCTCTCATCATACTCAAACTACACCCATAATAAACAACTTGAATTTTGATGACCATATACATATATCACAAAGTGCATCGATTCAATCGATCATTGAACATATATGAGTAAAAAAGAAAGAAAAAAGTAAAGAAAGAAAAAAATTCATTGAGCGTATCCAAGTTATGTTCTTTTTTTCTCTATCAAGCGACATAGTTGATCTATATTTGTACTCCTTGCGCAATTGAATCAATACAGATGTGTGTTCGTTAATACAGTACATGCAAAACTTATTAGATATATATATATATATTTGCTGTGTTCCCTTACGTTGTTCCAAGTGCTCTCTCTCTCTCTCTCTTTAATCCAATAATGATGAACAGCTTGCATAACTCTTACAACAAGAATAAAACACTTGTAATCATAACTTTGACTGTACAATTAAAAAAGAAAACTTTTCTACATCGAAAGGTCGATATCTCTAAGTATATTGATTATTACTTCATCTGTATGTATTTATATATATATACAAACTGAAGGACAATGTCGTTTAGATAGTCTATATTTACGATGGTACAAAGGAAAAAAACATTCATACACAACATTTACTCAATATGTTCATGAGAGCAACAAAAAAGAAAAAAAAATCTTGATTAGCCAACGAAGCAGAAGGACAAACAGACAGATATATCACTGTCGAGACAGAGATATTTATCTCTAAGTCTCTGTTTTTTTTCTCAATGAACATCATCAATATGAATGCAATTAAGCATAAATATAGAAAATAACTTACGGTAGAAAGAAATGTCCAACAGGTTGCCACCACGATGATTTAATGATGAATACAATTTGAAGAAATAAGACGACAGATCTTATTGTGAAATGTCGTCAAAATATGATTACAAACAAAATTCTATTCAACAAAAAAAGAAAAGAAAAAGAAATTTTCTTCTTTTTTTTTTGTATTTAAGAATCTGAAAAGTCAAGGACTTGCTGTTACTATAACAATTGCTTAAACAAAAGTCAAATATTTGCGTCAAACGTTTTGTATGAATGTACACATATGTATGTATATTGAAATTTATTACATAATACTTCTAAACATGCTTTGATGTGATGACCGAAATGACATTTGTTTGACGCTTCAAGTGGTTCTGTATTCTTTTTCTTTTCTAACTCCTCAGGAGACAAATTGACCGGAAACAACATTTAGACAGATTGATAAAAAAGAACGAAGATGAGACGTTCATGAAGGATAAATACTAACCTTGCTTTTGTCACAATACTACGCTAATTTTGTTCTTTAACATTTTCTATGAGTTTTTCTTTTTCTTTCTATACAACCCTATAACAACGAGCTAATTCCTTCTCATAGGACAATGGCAAACGTTTTTTTTTTCTATAGACTATGGTTCATCTTGAATTTCCGTTTCTCGTCATAGGACATCTCGGACGATAATTTGCGTCATATAAGTTTTTCTAGTTAGCTGATTAGCAAACTGACTACTGATTTTTGTTGACGTATAATACAATGTCAATCTATGTAAAAAGTGATTTATGGCGAATAAAAATCAGTTGTGCTGCTCTCGAGGATTGAGGAACTCCGATGACGCGCTTGCTTTCGGCAACTCTTTTTTTTTTATTATGATTCGTCTAAGAAATAAAGATGTTGAAAACTTCTGATGACTATATGAAGGCACACGCAGGCGCTTATGATCAGAAAAAAAGACGAAGACGGCATCGGCAAAATAGTGGTAGTGACGACGCGCGAGCTAGAAAACGGCAGAATAGGATTGACACTGTCCCCGTGTGTGTGTATATGCATGGCTCTCTTTCTCTTCTCTCTCGTTCTATACTTTTCTTCTTCTGTCTCTTTTTCTATATTGTCTCGCTCGTGTTTTTACCTCCTCGAACAACTTTTTTTTTCATGTATATGACATAAGGGGAAGTAAGGGTTCACACAGAATTTGATATAAACCAAACTATTATAGTCATTCCCAATACTGTGTTTGGATGATTTTGTTTGTATTTAATGCTAATAACGAAGTTATTCATGTCTATACAAATAAATGTAGTCTTTCCGTCTCCAGATAGTTTCAATTTGATCAAGGTCAAAATAAGTCTTTTACTTTTCTATATAATAGTTGTTCGACAGAACTGATTGAAACATCATCATGAATCGTATATAGCCTTGTGTTGATTGCGTGCTGCTGTCTTGCTCTGCGTTTTTTTTTCGAGTGCTATACTCTTATTGAATTGGTGATGAAATGAGTACAACTCCGTAAGGGAAAGATAGATGGGAAGAAATGTTCGAAAACGCTTGACCTTGTTAGAATTCGTTTGCGGACAATCAATAGATCAGATATAGGTGAAAAAGATAAGTATTAAATTCTATGGTAAGTTAAAATTAACGAATAGTATTTAGTTCTTATCGAAAAAGCAAAAAAAAAATAGAACAAAATTTACTTGTTATATAAAGTTGTACGCGTTGTTTGAGAATAAATTGACTATGAACAAATAGATGGTGATAATGTTTGGCGCGGAGTTGATAATAAGGTAGACAGGCAAGCAAAAAAAAAGAAATAATTAGAAAGCGTTATACTATTCTTATAGCTTCGTCTTTTTCTTTTTTTTTCTGCTTAGATGTCGTCAATATTGTTGTTGTTCTTCGTCTTACTGTTGTTGACGATAGTCAAATCTTGTCGACTAGTTGTATTTTTGTTTCTGTTGTTAGAACGAGAAGAAGGTTGTTTGAGCATTTGAAACGCAAAAAAACAACATCCTTCGTCTAACGTTCGTCTCATAAAAAAACTGTGCCTACGCAATGCTCACGTCCTGAGAAAAATGCGCTTTAGGCGCGCTCGCGATCAGCTGCTACTATTTTCCTCTATCGTTTTTACTCTCTGTCTTTCTCTCTTACTCTTCTTCCTTTCCTTGTACTTCACATTTCTTCTATTACTCTACTCATATGATGATGCTTCACGCGCATTCATACCCGTTGTTGTTGCGTTGTTTTATATGATGATAGTAATAGCGTGCTCTATAAAAAAAGAAGAAGAAAAAAGCCTAAAGAATAGAAGATAGACAAAGAAAATCATCTGTCAATAGAGTGCATGCATGCATCCGTATTACTCGGATGAAGATTCTTGAAAAGTTTTTGTTCCAGATACTGATCTGTCTTATTGAAATATTCATAGAATAAATATGAGAAAAGAAAAAGAAATTCAATGCGTCACAAATCACTATAATTAAAGAGGCATGCATAAAAGCAAAAATGTTATTGCCGATGATGAAGAATGGACATCATATATCCACTTGAGACATTTTCGATATATTGAAAATTATTCAACCGACAACCGATCGATTTTTAACAATTTAAATTATTCACATACACTCAATAATTCTTAATCTAATTTTCGCCCTTTTGTATAAATCTAACATAAACATCGATCATGTTTCTATATACAAATGTATAGACACTATAAATTTGTTGAGAACAGTGGTATTTATTCACACTGAAATTGAACATCGAAGAAGTATTATTATGATCAGATGATGATCATATATATATGTATGTATGTAATGTAGTATAAATGCCAAATCACGGTTGGTTTCATTTTACATTAGTTCTATGCATCGCCTTTTCTCTATTGTTGATTTACATCTATATATATGTATAGGTGCACAATAAGTAATTATGCGACGCGACAAAATGATGCAATTGACATCAGTATTTTCTTTTGTCTATGAATATATATATATATATATATATGTATATGTATGTATATATTTTACACAAAAGTAATTCCTGTAAAGAAAATAGATTAAAAAAATGCAAATTTACTTTTGCCTTTTCTCTTCTTATTTCGTGTTTATAACAAAGACAAGTGATAATGAGACAGGTTGATTAGATTCAATATGAAATCTAGCTGTGAATTTAATGCAAATTCAAGAAGAAAGAATAAATCGTACTAAGACTGCTTAACATATATTGTAAATGTTAATCGATAAAATATCCTTGAATAAATAAAGTTTATTTATTTGATGTGAAAAAGAAAAAACACTAAAAGCAATGATGTATTAAAAAAAAACTTATCGATTTTTTTCAATATAAATGACATCAATCATAAGTCATTGTTCAATGTAGGTCATTTTATTCTGAACTTATTTTCTACACTTTATTCATTGATTATTCGATCAATATTCAATTTTATTATAGTACATCTATTGATGCTAAACAGATATCAAAGTCATCACATGTTTTTTGTTTTATTTTCAGTACAAATAATCACCATATAAGATCACCATATGCCATCCTTTATAGTTAGGATAAACAATGTGATCGATTTTATTTTATAAATCGCCTACAAATACTAGTATTGGTCTAATGGTGTTATAACGATTCGAAAAAACAAGCAATAGATATTTCAGCGACTACTATAATCAACAATATACTTCATGTTTTACGATATTTAGAAAATTAATTTTTGTTTTTGATTTCATCAATGATTTTTTTTACGTGTAATTGATAATTAATTTATTATTATGCCGAATCTCTGATGACTAATTAATCAGTTACAAATTAAAGAATATAATACTATGGTAGCATATGATGATTCATGTTGAATGTATGCATGGAAAAATACGACATTAGGATTAGTAGATCTATTATATTGTCGCATCGAACAGCATAGAATCGTTTTGTCACTTCAACTATAGAAAATCGATAAGGCTTGTTCAAAATGATCTATGATCGATGAATTGATCGCATATATGAAACGCTTTGGTGTAAATGTTAATCCGATAGATGATAATCTGACACTTTCACTAAATTTACCAATGTGTAAAATGTATAAACGATTCAAAGTCAACAAAAAATGATTGTTTTAAAAAGCATGTATAGATACTATAAAATGTATAAAAATTCTACTAACATACGCTTACGGCCATACCACGTTGAATACACCAGTTCTCGTCCGATCACTGAAGTTAAGCAACGTCGGGCTCGGTTAGTACTTGGATGGGTGACCGCCTGGGAATACCGAGTGTCGTAAGCTTTTTATTTTATATTTTCTTTTTTCTTCTTCAGTTCTAGGGTTTCTAATGCTGTCAAAATACAAATACTTTTCGTACACTAAATCAATATTGACATGTGCAAATTTGCATTTTTCTATCATTGACTCAAGACATTGTTATGAATGAAAATCTAATAGTTTTCTTTGATTTCTATATATTATTCACAAGCACAATAAATGAAATATACAATAGAAGACAGTACATAAAATAAATATTAATTATATTGCACTCATTTCATTATCGATCATTATTATATTCATTATGAAATGGGAGGCATAACAACAGGAAAAACTTTTTTTCTTGATTCAACATTAATTGATTGATGATTCGATATTTGTTTTTCATTTCTATTTGATAATTTAGATGTTTGTTTAGTAGGTATACTTGGATTTGATAATTCATCATGTTGTTCTTTAGAAGTATTAATTGGTGGTAGTGTTGGTATTAATTGTGAACCAGAGACAGTTGCAAGATTTTGTGGAGGTATATTTGATAATGCCAATTGATAATTTTGATTTGAACGTTGTCTATGTTGATAATTAAGAGCTGTATTATATAATTCTAACATATAATTTGTACGAGGTGTCAACGGAAAGGAATTATGTTGAACAACACTTGAATGATTGTTTAAACGTTCCTGAATTCGAATTGTTTGAGGAGAAATAGACTAGAATAAGAATAAGAAGATATGTTATAGAAAAATTAGGTATACATTTTCTGATTTACATGCACATTAGGTTTTGTTTTACGTGGTGGAATTGATGATTTTTGTACATATTTTTGATAATTTGAATCATAAAAATAAACCGAACGAGCAGTTGGAGGAGCTTTATACCATTGTGCAGGTGTTGTCGATTGACCTAATATACGTACATAATCTCTTGGTTGTGTTCGTTGTATTTGATTATGAACAAGTTGTACTTGTAATTGTTCAATTAATTGTTTTTTATTTGATAATTTACTTTCATTAGTATCATCAATCTCAATATCATACATTGTCTGTTCTGGTGTATTCAAATGTAAAGTTTTAGTCATATTTGCAGTGACATCACTATATTCATCTCTTGAAATCAACACACTGGTCAAATCTCTGTAAAAAAAGAAAATAAAACGAGAGTAATCATCAGCTTATTTTGGCATTCTGGATATTATTTTCTTTTACGACTGTGACTAACAGCAAACATAGTAAGGAAAATTCTTTTTGAAATAAAACAAAAGGAAACCTATATTTAATGAGGACGAGAAGAGGAAAAAGAAGGAAAATTATGAACTATTTAGAAAAAGACCACCTGGTAAAAATCAAGAGAACGACTATTAAAACTCACGCCTTTTTTACCTAAGAATACTTTCATATTGCATTACTCAATAAACTTAAACGTCAAGATGAGAATTTTGAAAGAAGTAAGACAACTGTTTTACTCATTTGAATTTCCTTTTAGCATTATATGAAAGTAACTTGATACATTGATCGACTTACGTTGACGTGCAGCGAAATGAATCTAGTAGTAGCTGTTGTTCATTATTGTTTAACAACATTTTCTTATATTCGTATTGTTTCTTTCCGTTTACAATGCAATGTCTGATATTCAAATGAACGAAAGAGAAAATGCAGTAAAAGAGCGATTTTTCGTAAAAGAAAAAAACAACAAAAGACATTACTTTTTCATTAAATATAAAAATTTATAGAAAAATATTTGTTTTTACTTTTTAATGTATTTTAATAAGAAAAGACAAAGTAAAGAAAAAAAAGAAAAAAGAAAAAAAAAAAGAAAGAATTATTCTCGACTAATCCGATATTTAGATTGTTACAATAATGATAATAAATGAAAAAAGTATAATCATAATCGATGGTATTTTTATGTGCGTATTATTACACAAAGATGTTTTACAGCATGTATTACTTAATGCTGAACTCCCTTGAAATGCAAATGTACAACGTTTATTTCCACATGATCGACGAACACTAGCAGCAAAAACACCTTTCTATTAAAGAAACAAACAAAAACAAGAAGAGTTTTTTTCATTTTGTAATACAATAAAATATACCCAACAGCTATGTTCACATTGTACTAATGGTATAGAATCATCTCCTCGAAATGGATCTCGACATAGATCACCGTCACATTTATAACATGTTATATTTTGATTTTCTTCTATTCATTTAAAAAAAAAGAGAACAAAAATATTTTTAATAATTATTTGTTAATATTTACCTTTTTTATCCTCATCACGTTTTCGATCTTTTTTATCTCGCTCACGTTCATGTTTATCCAGTAAGGATTCTTCTTCATTGTTATGACCACCACGATTTCGATGATGTTTTATCGCCCAATCTGTTTACATGTAAAATATAAATTACTAATATTATATTGCTTCATTTTTACTTACTAAAATCAATAATAGTTAAAAGCAGAAGACCTCCAAGCAACAAAAAGATTCGATCCATCGTTGATTTCTTACGAAATAGAAATGAATGTTTTCTTTTTGTTTGCTATTTTTAATACATATTTATCATTTCTTTTAATGAGAAGAATCTTGTTTCAAGGTGCCAACTAATAAAAAAAAAAAATAACAACATCGATCAATCGATTGCAAACAAGCAATTAGCTAATAGCCGAAAGAAAAATCACATATAGAACACAATATATCTCCGATTAGAATAACTTTTTATGAATAAAGTAGATAAAAATAAATCGTTTAGCATAATGAAAAATTGATTTCTTATGACTAGAAAATGATTGATGATGTTTATTTTTTTGGATCTTGACATATGACATAGAACAAGGAGATTATCAACATTTAGATGATTGATAATCAACCGTTGTAGAATAATTCTATTGCGAAAAAAAAACAACTGGGACTTTAAGAGTAGCTTTCAAAAATAAGCGCCGCACGCCTCTTTAAATATAACAGAAAAATGATTAGAAGATTTTCGAGTAACATATGAAAGCATCAAATGACTTATACATTTTTATATATGATTAAAATGTGAACTGATGTGATTTCGTTATTTATCATTAAGTATATTGTTTTTACGTATGAAATAATACTAATGAGAATTTATAATTATCTGTAATTTGAAATATATAAACTTATTAGCAGTAATTTGCGAACGGAAATTTAGGAGACAGAATAGATTGCATAAACCAAAGTTGTTGACAGGATACTTAGTTAATATCTATAGGATTAATATATTAGCTTTTTTGTTGCGTTCCATTGAGAGAGTGAGAGAGAGACCATTGTGATATTTCTTCATGAAATAGTATTATTATTTAGTTATATTTCAAAATAAGGATTAAATGATTCATTCCAAAAGGAAATAGCTTAGCACTGTTAAAAAAGGACCAGTAAGATATGATGACATGTAGGACAAATTGATAAGCCTTTATTACAACAGATAAAAGTATTTTTTAGAGATGTTGTATGCACTGTCTCACTCTTTCTTTTCTTTTATACTCTTTATAATTTCCATTCACCAAGATTCAATTCCTAATGTTTACTCAAATGGTATTCTATATTCTTTTCCAGTTTCGACATTACAAAAAATATCCCAACATATGAAATGCAGGCTTTGAGACTAAATGTTTGTGTATTTGTGATTATCTTGAAAGTATTTTCAAGAAGTCAAAAGTTCTGGCCATAGAATAGAATTATAGTGTTTTTTCTAAAATAAGGCTTAGAGAATTTCTCTAAAAATTTTCTTGAAAATAGTGAGTTGATTTTTGAAAAATCCGAAAAATACTTTGAACGGAAAATTTTTCTGTACACGTTTGCACTTTCACTATGGCGATTCAAAAGTAAAAGTTGAAGTCTTAATTAATATATCAGCTTATAGGATAGAAGCTACCCTGCAAAATGTACCATTCGAATTTTTCTACAGTCACTTTAATTTTCGTTTCTCTCAAAACCATCATTTTGAAAAATGAAATTTTTTGAGCAAAAGATGTTTTATATTGAAAAGAGCTCTTAACACATCGCTTATAATTCTACTTAAATAAAACTCACAAATTTGTACAATATAACATTTTATAAAGAAGTGTTCCATTAACAATACAACCTACTCCGATACTTTTTATCACATTCGAAAAAGAATTTATAGGAATTAGCAAAAAGCCAATTGGTTCAGTATTCAATCTAATTTTTTAGGTCTTTGAAAAATTCCCTCACTAGTCTCAAGCAAAAAAAAGGACACAATACTTCTGATCACATATTCAAAGAGAGCATAACACTTGGATCATTATTAATAGTTTTTTTTTGGCTTTTCTGAGATACTTTCAAACAGACCAAAATGAATAGCCATCTGCATTAAAAAGTTCGACTCACACTTTACATCCAAACTCATTTGTTTGAGTCTCTCAAAAATTATCTCGCTACTTTCAAACAAAAAACGCCGATAAAATTTTCAAGCCCGTATTCTGAAAGTGCACAATATGCTGATCCTAATTCATAGCTTTTGACGCCCAAGAGACACTTTCAACAGACCCAATAAACAAATAAATATTTTATCTCAAAATTTTCAGCCCGTCTGTTGTATTTGCTTTATCTTCTTGACAATTATTTATTTTAGAAAAATAAAAATACTCTGAATAGTGTCAAATATACACAGTACTTAAAAATTCTCTTGTTATACAAAGTCGGGATGCAACAATGACGGCACACCTAGTCTAAACATATATGTATAGACTGACAGTGAATTCACAATAAAGCTATGATGATTTTGTATTGATTTCGATTTTCTCACTCAGACGGGTTATTAAAAAAAAATAGCTGAATTTTAAAGTAATAGACTAAACGTTTTTAGAATCAAGAGAACTGAATCTATCGTATACATCAATTGGGTCAAAAGAAAAAATGTCGAAAGAAAAAGTGAATGTGGGTGTAGTAGGTTTAAAGAGGAGACTGATATCCGCATACATACTCGATCCAAACACCCCCATCCATATTCTTCCACTTAAAGAAACATATTTTCTTATCGTTAGTTTTTTAATTGGATATTGTTCATGCACTATGATCTCTTGTTAATGTACTTCTATTTATTTCATTTTTCTGTATGGAATAAAATGTCTTCACATCGTTGGTTGAAAATTTCAAAATAAAGTTTTTATTTTTCGCATTTTTCCTTTCGGACAAGTTAATGTCATTCGAATCTATACAAGGTTTGTCGAAATTTTCAATGTTGATTTTCTCGTTCAAGAAATATTTAGCTCTCACAGCTTGGTTATGTTTTAAAAAACTCAGCTATTTTCTTGATATAGACTTTCATCAACCGAAAAAGTCGAAATGAATCTAGGATCATCGTCATTTTATTATGCCTTAACCATTGTTGTATATATGGGCATGTCTAGACCAGTGTATCAGTCGATGGTGCCATCGGTAATCACCCTTGCCATTGCGTCCGGAATACAAACATAGAATAGCTTTTTTAATCTTTTCTTTTTATATAAAATTCATCATTTCAACTAGTTCCTTTTTTTCTTTGTAAATTGTCAATATATTTCACCCCGGGATAAAGTAATGTATCATTTCGCTGTTCATATACACATAAAAGAAAAAATAAAGGAAAAAAAAAATATATATATATATATATCAATGGATAAATTAAACCAATATTCAATTGACTGTTGTGAACATTGAATAGCTCGAAATACAAAAAAAAAAAGAAACAAAAACAAACAAAATTATTTCTATCTTGTTGTTGATGTATGATATAAAATTGATTGACTAACAATAGGTTTAAGTAAAACATATGCATCAGAAGCATATGTTTGTGAACTAGATGATTGAATAAACATTTGATTTAAAAGTTTTTCTTTTACTTTAATATCACATCTTATTGGTATATCATTTCCATTTGATGATATATTTGATATTTGTTTCATATATTTAGCAAATAAATTTGGTATACCAGCAAGCATATTTGAAAAATCTTTTTGTTGTTTTTCATAAATAGCTAATAATTCAATATCAATTGAAAATGATGTTAAACTTTTACAACCAATTAAAAATAATTCAGCTGTTCTACGATAATATTCAATAATACGTGCACATAATATAGCTAAACAATCAATAGCTTCATCGGCTAATGTCTAAAATTACAAAGCAAAAAAAAAACAAATTAAATTAAAAAAATCTAAATCAAAGAAATATCATTTATTTTATTTTTGCTTTTTATTTTACTTTTTGATCAAGTTCTGTATCCATCCAATCCCATTCAGTTAGAAATTGATTAGCTGATTCATAAACTTCAAGTAATTTATCAACAGATACTGTTGAACGTAATTGTGTTTGATATGCAGTAAATTTTTGTGATAAAATATCTAAACTTGGTATATGATTATTATCATTATCATCAGATATTGTTGATGAATCTAAAGTATTATTGATGTCCATATCATCATCATCTAATTGAAAATAATTATCAATTTGTTCAAGAATTTTTTCATTTCCATAACTCATTGTTTGTAAAGTAGTTGATGATTGATTTGATAATAATTCAAGTGCTTCAAAATGAGCAAGACCTAAAAATACAATATAATTCACATTTTGTTTTAATGTTTTTTGAAAATATTTACCTTGATGTTTTTCAAATAATTGTAAAAATGTAGTCATTTCAGTTTTCGTTGTAGTTGTTTTTGTTTCAGTTTCATTTTTTGCTTCACGTATTATCTAAAATAGTAATACAAAGAGAATTAAACAAGAAATATGTATAAAATTTCTTTTAATGATACTAACTTCAGATAATGTCGGTTGATTCTGTTTTCTTAATAAACGTCGTGTTCCTTGTAATGCTGGATCAGCTTCATTAATTACCTTTTTAGAAACAAAATTCAAATATATTTAGACATATACATCTATTATTGCGTACATACATCAAATGTTTTTTTACCAACAGTTTCAAGAACATCAAGGCTACCAGAGACAACTTTCATACCCTTGAGAGACAAACAAAAAAAACACATACATAATCAAATTTAATAATCTTCTTTTTTCACATACAGTATTCGTTAGTTTTTCTAAACTTAATGCATTAAGCCAACCATCTTGATTTGTAACTGAATCATTTTTTTCTGTCTGAACATTCGACGATTCAGGTTCTAAAAATAAATAATTATACAAAATTCCGACACTAACATTCCATTAAATAGTTATTGAATTTTAAATATATTCTATCAAATAGATGTAAAAACATTAAAAAAAGAATTTTTTTTTTTTTTTGACTAACCATCTTCACTGTCTGATGTTTCGCCTTTAATTTTAAATGCCATTCGATTCATTTCTGCTAATTGTTGAGGATCAGGTGCACCAAGACCAGCTTCAACTGATTCGATAACTGCACTTAAACCTTCACCTAAAACATTAAAAAAAAGTATGCTTGTTTTGTTTTTCAGAAAATTATAAATTTATATCGATACATACTAACAGTATTTGTTAATGTTGAAACACTTT